TCTTGAATACATAACCAAGTGATAACACCTTTGCTGTTTTCACGACACTTTCGATATTGATAACCATCGTAGACCAAGGAAGGCTTTCCTTTTGCTGTTTCGATAATTTCCATTTTCGAAAAATGTAACGTTAAGCCGTTAAGGTAACAAATCTTGACTTCACTTCTTAAAATCGCAAGGATTAATGTTATATATTTTGAAAAACCTAACTGTAAATAGGGTTACTACCACCTCTTGTTATTATGTTATTGGTTGATAATTTATTATTACCTAGTTCATTATAGTAATTAAAAATAAATACCTACCTAATGATTATGTTTGTTATTAATGTTGTTTATCGGAACATCGTTTCATTTCTATTAAATAGATGCAACCGAAATAAATAAAATGTAGTTGTTGGCAAATGGACCTATAATTATTAAGATCACTAGGATCTTAATACGAGTGTTCGCAAATAACACCAAAATGTGGTTGTTCGCATCTGAAACGTTCGCAAGTAAGACGACACCATACTCAGATATGCCATCAAATTATTGTTTTTGACTTTCTAGGACACTTCCTGAAAATGACCCAGAGAGATTGATATATATTTATGAAACATACTCTACAATAATTTCGTACGTTAAATCGGTAGGGGGCACGTGTCCTCATGTGTGTGCCGAATATTTATTTTCTTACGACGATTATTTGACGTTTATCAACGAAATCGTTCCTCAAGACAGGGAGACGTACCGATTGGAATTGAAACGTCCGTATAACGAACAAACCTTTTATCGTCGGAGTAAACAATGTTGGATTGATTTATTATTGCAAACGTTTAAAGTTATTTCACTATTTCAAATTAATGCCATGCCATTATCTCCCGAATCGGTTGCAGTCACTTCCGATGCCGACGTTATAACGTATTTTGAAGAAGAAATATCGAGTTCTGATCGATCGATTTCGACCGATGACGACGTTGTGTCACAAGAAAGCAGCAACTTCGTCGAGAAATTAGACGAGATTTCTGTTATACCTTTAACGGTTAGTGAAGACGCAGAGAATGAATTTTTGAGCACGCACGAACTGGTAATCCTCTTTTGGCTCGAAACGAATTACAACACGCAAATAAAAAAAGTATGGAAAACACAAAAAGACGGCAGTTTGCTACGGGAACGACAACTAAAAAATTTCGATTACGACTTACGAGACTGTTTAGTCCTATTAGCGACAATATCCTATTATTGTCCTTTCTTGGATGATCGGATCGAAGAGGTCGCTTTCGACGTCAAATCTGCAGAAAACAGGCACCATAACGCCATAATATTGAGGCAATGGCTTCGAGTAATAAACGTCGACGTTTCAGTAACTCCTGAAGAGATTTCTCTAACAACCCCGAGCATTTACATGCTATTGTTGTCCAGCTATCTGTTTCAATTTTTGCCAAATCTCTTCCCTCGTAAAACGATCTACATGGCAGCAAACATCAATAGATCGACAACGAAAGCTGTTACGGTGCGCAACAACGACAAAGAAGCGATCATGTATACAATCAGTTTCTTTAATAACACTTCGAACTGTTTCACCGCTAATTCCGACAAGATCAGGGTAGCAGGGAAGGCGTCGCATCAAATAAAATTTACTTTCCAAGCGAATACGATCAATACAATGAAGGTCTATGCTGTTTTAAATGGGGAGAACAAGGGATACCGTTATGCCAAATGCATGGTGTACGTGTTGCACGGTTTAACAAAATTTGACCAGTGTACAAAAACGGTAAAGTTAACCGTACCAATCTATAAATCGGTTAGTGTAAATTTACCTATCCACTCGCCATTCGTAACTGAAGCAATCTATAAGGTGAATTACGGCATTGGAAAGACAAAATCTTCAGAAGAGGTTCATTTACTTTCTTGGATGTCCACCGAACTGATACCGGTACTCCCTTCTAGGATCATCTCTGAAAAGGATGAGGTGAAATGTAATTCGAAAGGTATTGGTAACCTGGGACTTCGAGTTTTCTGCTTAAGTGAAAACATACGGATTTACATCTTGTTCTTTACGAATCCCGAAATCGGAGACTTTTGCATAGAACTCCGAATATCACCTGACACGTCAGAAATGATCCCTTTGCCCGTATGCGTCGATATTAAAAAGGAAATTTTATTGCGAAAGATTAACGAAAAATGTATTTGTGGCATGACCTCTGTCATAAAGCGGTCTTCATCGTGTATCAGTTTGAGACATTTCTGTCCAAAATATATGAAGATTTCAATTCCGTGTCAAAACAGTCAACTGTGGATTGGAGTTGGAAATATATTTAGAAGCACCATAACTGGCTTAAAGGACTGGAGCGAAAATTTCGGTAAGATATTGTTCAGAACTTGGCAAAGTTCTCAGCAAAAGCTATTACTGAATGTGCATTATCCCTAGATGCCCCAATTACATATAAAAATCCAAAATAACTACAAATTGTATCAATTAGACGAAATAATACGTGCCAAATAAAGGGTGAAACATTTTTTATTTTAAAAAACAACCAACGTTTTGCCTTAGATTAGAGACTTTCTCAAGGTATTTTTAAAAAGTCGGTGTTAATTAATGCACTAACCAGTCGTAAATGCACTCCACGAAGAAACATAAGTCACAAACACAGGTTAAGGTATAAAGCAGAGGATAGCGCAGGATCGAGTAGCCTCCAATAAAAAGAAGTCACTTTTATGCTCGCGAGCGGTTAATTTAGAAACTCAAAAAAGATTGTTAAAGGTGTATGTTTGGAGCACGGCGCTGTACGGGTGCGAAACATGGACGACTAGAAGGTTAGAAGCGTTCGAAATGTGATGTTACAGGCGAATGATGAGGATACCGTGGATAGATAAGGTTAGATATGAAAAGGTATTGGAAAGAATAGGAGAGTAGGGGACTATGGAAGTCAATATGAAATAAGCGAGATAGGTTGGTTGGACACCTTTTCCAGTAAAAGACATATTAGAGGCAGAAACAGGAGTTAGGAGGGGTAGAGGTAGACCTAGATTAGATTACTGTACACAAATAGTTAAGGATGTGGGATGTTCTAGTTTTAGGGAAATGCGAAGACTACCTCAGGGAAGGGCGGAGTGGAGGTGCGTGTCCAAGCAGTCTTAGGACTGACGACCTTATGATGATGATTCATGCTTGTGCATTAAATATCACCGACTTTTTAAGAATACCTTGACACATCTTCTAATTTGAGGCGAAATGTTGATTGTTTTTTAAAATAAAAAATCTTGTCACCCCTTATTTGGCACGTATTATTTTGTTGATATCAGGAAAGAATTATGAAATGTAATTTATATCAAATACATTGAAACCCCTTTGAAAGAGTCTGAAGCCGTTTGAATTACAAACTACTTCTTTATGAAAAGTCTTAGACTAAATTGCTTTCAAGCACTGGAAGTCTCCGTCTCTCATCGAGTCTCTCTGGTGTCGCTGAGAAAGACTGTCGAGAGACTTGAGTCGCTCATAGAGAGATCCTCATTTCGTATCCAGCCTGTGAACAAGATACGCGAAACTCTCAATAAGTGGTATCTCGATAGACAAGTTCAACATATTTCAGAGATCCCAGTTTTTCTACGAGAGACTCAAGTCTCTTAATTTTTCAGTTTTATTCATTCAGTCTCTCTGTGAATTAACAATTTTATCGTTCGACCCTCTCATACAGAGACTGTGGGAGATCCATAAAAACACCTAGGCAATAACTGAGAGACTGTGAAACACTGTGAGAGACGCTTTCAGAGACGCTGAAAGACTCTGAGGGACTGAAAATTTTTGTCTAGCGTACATGTGCGACGTTCTTGTAAATCAGGCGTCATATGCTTAGAAAACAATCCACACAT